CTCTTCTGAGAGCCAGTCAGTAGAGGCTTCTGGGGTGGGAAGCCCAAGATGGCACCATTGTCCTCTACCCTGTGGGCCTGGGCAGGATTAAATCTGCCTTACACATACCCATATACTAGTGGTGGTGGTGGTTGTGGTAGGAGCTATCGAGTCAAGGACGAGTCATAGTCAATCTATAACCAACAAATCTGAACCCTGTCCTATCCTGTGCCATCCTTACAATCTCTGACACACTCATTCCCCTTCCCGCAGTACTGTGTCCATCCTCCTGCTTAGTGCAAGAAATCGTCCTCACGCTATCCTGACCAGTCACTCAGGGTCATCACCCAGCATGCACTGAATGTAAAGGTTCTTAGCATTCAGCCAAGCTCCTGACCAATAACCTGCAGTAGTAATCAACACAAGGAAAATGCAATACACTTAATTAGCAAAAAAAATTGTATGCTGGATGAGGTTCCCCAGTGTCATAGAGATTATAGGGTTCCATTGCTAACTGAAAGCTTGGGAATCTGAAACAGCAGCTCTGAGGGGGAAGGAGGGGGTAGTCTGCTCCCACAAAAGACATAGTCTTGGAAACACTGAGTGCCATGTCTACTCTGTCCTGTAGACTCACCATGAGTCACAACTGGCAGGCCAGTCAGCGAGTGTTTGCAGTGGGCTATGTAGGGTCGGAGTACCTGGGTGGTGCAAATTGTTAAGTGCTCAGCCATTTAGTTTAATAGCTGTAGGAAAACGAAGAAGAAAAAAAAAGTTGATGATTTTCCTTAAAAATAACACAGTCTTAAAAACTTGAAAGGAGCAGAGTTTTACTCCAAAGCGCATGGAGTCCCCATGAGTTGAAATTGGCTCAATAACAACTATTTTTTGGAGTTGCTTTTATGTGTCTAATTTTGGTTTGGCTTTGTCTTATTTGCTATATGTGATATTTAATCCTAGGAACTCTGGTGGCACAGCACATTATGTGGGCTGCTGACTGGAAGGTTGGCTGTTCAAATTCCAGTGGGAGAGAGATGGGCAGTCTTCTATTATAAAAATACACAACCAGGGGGCTCTGGTAGCCTAGTGGCAAAAAGCTGCACTGCAATCCCAGAGGCACACAGTTCAAATCCACCAGATGCTCTGCTGGAAAAGGAGGGATAATCTCCTCCTGTACGAGTCAGATCTGATATGACGGTACATGCATGCAAAATAATAAAATAAATTTTTAAAAAATTTTAAAAAAACCCCACAAACACAACCTTGGAACGCCGCTGGAGAGCCACCATGAGTTCCAACCAGCTCAATACCAGTGGGTCTGGGGATTGGTTATTTAATTCTAACAAGGATCACGTGGAGTAGGAACTTTGCTTTCTCTCCGTTTCACAGAGTGAAAAGGTGAGTACAGGAAGTGAGGTAGCGTGTTGTGATTATCTCAGGGGGAGCCGAGCCAGAATTCAAAATCAAAGATGGTCAGATTGGACTTTAAACATGGAAAATACAGTTCCTACATATCCTGAGGGAGAAGGAGAGGGGAGGAGGGGAGGAGACCAAGATTTCTCTGGAGTCCTAGTATTTCTTTGCTAGTTCTTAAACTTGACTGCACTTTGGACTCTTAGAGCTAGCTTTAGAAAAAGAACTAATGCCTGGGTCTCACCCCGAGAGAATGTGGTTTAATTGGTCTGGGCTGCAGAAGCGTCATCAGGATTGTGGAAGCTCCCAGGGCCCCCAGCAGCAGCCAAGGCCGTGGAGCCGGCTGGCACATCCCCACCCTGCAAGTCGTCCAGAAAGCACTTTTCATTAGCACAGGCGAGCAACACCTGAGGCCTCCAGCGAACAGGGTTTGCAGGTGTGCGGGGCTCCGACCAAGACAGGGTGGTATGCAGGGCAGCTGGTGCAGAACCTGCAGAGCCGTGGGGTGCAGGAAGCGGAGTTTATTACAGTCCAAATGACAAAAACTCCTGTGCTGAGCCGCATCCCCGGGAGACTGAGCCGCCGCAGTGGAGTAAGCCCGGTCCCTTCTGGTGAGTGTTCCCCTCACTGTGGTGACAGGGCACATGTGTCTGGGGTTTCCTTGAAGATGACTTTTCCAGCTTGTCCCAGACTGGTGCTCAGAGGCCTGGCTCCTTGGGCCTAGAATCTCTCCATGGACTGAGCTGGGGTTCTGGCCAGGTCGGTCAGGGCTGGAGCCTGGCACTAGGGCGAGGGAGGCATCTTTCATTTGGGAACTTCTGAGGGAATTGTTGACATTGTTTGAGCTGCATCTCCAAGGTTTATGTTGTTTCCTCTGACTCTGAAAAGAAATTGACCCTTTCATTTAAGGTGGTGAATGTGCTTGAGGTTTATTGGCAATCCTGGATCTGAGGTTGGTCTGCACACATCCTCAAACTCTTAAACAACCCCGGAGAGTCATGCTGGAGGTCCGTATTCAGGGTCTTGGCTGCCACGCAACACACCCATGCCTGGAATAGTCTCTGAAAAGAATGGAGGTGAGGGTGGGGGTGGGGGAAATCATCCACCATGCTTAGGCCAGGCCTCAATTAAAAATGTTCCTGATGGCTAGTAATGAAACGGTCTGTGGCTTGCGTCTCAGTTCTTGTGTTGAGACTGCCCAATTATTAGCTCATTTACTTTTTTACTTGTTCACCACTTGGTAGCTAGTACCCAAATCATTTGATAAGTAACCTAAAGTTTTTTGTTGTTGTTGTATACCATCGAGTCTGAATCGACCCATAGCTGTCCCTCCAGCAGGTTTTAAGAGGCAATAAATAATTCAGGAGGAGATTGCACATCCTCCTCCCAAGGAAAACAGTTTAGAGAGGTTACATATATTGTTTAAAGCAAGATAGTTTATGGGGCTTAGCCCTGCGGAACTTCAAAACGTATGTGATGTGTTCAATGGCTTCAGTGTTGTTGATTGCACACCTTGGAGTTGGAACCGACCCATAGCTGATTCTCTCGCAGGTTTTCTGAGGCAGGTAATCACACAGGAAGAGATTGCCTGTTCCTCTCCTGCGGAGCAGCTGGTGGATTCCAACTGCGAGCCCTCGCGATTGCAATGCAGCTTCTTACCACTAGGCCACCAGAGCTCCTCAATGGCTTCAGTAGTCTCTTTATTTATTTCTGAATTTCTGACTCAGAGTCTCATGAAGAGAAGGTATACCAAAAAAAAAGTTGGCCGAGTGAATGAATGAATGAGCAAATGAAACCCACTTACGAGTTCAAATCTCAATTCTTCTTCTGTCAAATGGAAATTGTAAAGATGTAAATGATGGTGCCTCTGACAAAGATTTCAGAAATAAGGGAACATTCTACAGAGGGTAAGGCTTCTTTTTATATACTTTGGGTCAGGAGAGACAAGTCTTTGGAAAAATAGATAATACTAGAGAAGGTGGAGGGTCAACCAAGGAGAGCAAGACCCTCTATTAGATGGATTGACTCAGTGACTGTAAGAGTGGGCTTGAGTGTCATGGAGATCATACGGATGGAGCGGGAGAGGGCAAAATCTAACTGTTGTTCATAGGGTTGCTATGAGTCATTGTCGATTTGGAGGCACTTAACCACAATCACAGTAACACACTTTGGGTGACAAAATGGTCAAACATTTGAAAAATAATGGAAAAATTATTCATTTGAATCCACACAAAGGTACCTCTCCAGAAAGACCAGTCAAATTGCTTTTGAAAGAGCACCAATTTGACAGCCCCCATAGTCATACTCCACAGCTGATGATATTGTATATAGAACAGAAAGCAAGTGGTTCAGTTATATAGGGAAAGCTGGCCAACAGCAACTCAAACTCTCAGCAAATGAAGCTGAAATCAGAAAATGTCTTACTTTAGGATATTGTGTTTGGAGGGACAGAGGGTTGGGAAAAGAGAGGGAGACCCTCAAGAGGTAGATTGATGTGGTAGCTCAGGCAACAGGCTCGGGTATGTTGGGGATGATGGCGATGGCAGAGGATAAGACAGGGTTCCGGTCTCTTGTTCATGAGGTTGCTATGGGTTGTACCCAACTCGAGGGCACCTGACAACAACAACACAACAACAACAACAACAGCAGCAACTGCCACCTTCACAGCAGTATCCCTGAAGCACTGTCAAGGACTTCTCACATTCTGTAGACCAGAAGCATCTTGTGATGAGACCCAGCTGCAAAGCAGGCTGGGAAATTCAGCCCTGGAACTATTTCCATCCTACCTGTAAGACATTCATTATCTGTTCTTCCTCTGTCAAGTTTCCTACAGATGACATGACCTGGGATGACATCATAACTTGGGTGGATGATGGCATGCTTGAGTCCTGTGTGCTTTCTGTTTTAAACTTGAAAGTAGTAGATCAAACCCAGAAGCTTGAGACTGTTTAAAAAAACCAAACAAACAACAGCTTTTGAAAAATGAACTTTTGTTTGTTTTATTTTGGGGGATCAACCACAAAGAAACAGTAACCTTTATAGCTTATCAGTTACGGAGAATATAGAAGTTTTTCTAAGTGATAGTTTGGATGGAGTGAAAAGAGATTCATCTCAGGTGATTCTTTTTGCTCGTTTCTTTTAGGGCTTGTAGAAACTGTCAAATATGAGGTCTGCAAGGGAGCCTGACAACCTCTCTGAAACGATTTGTGTTGGAGATGAAGAAACCTCAGAGGGGTTGGGTCACTTAGCCAGAGAAAGCTGGTGGCAAGGCTGTGAGGGGAAGCCAGGCTCCGATGCCCACCCCCCCCAGCGTCTTCCTTCATTCATTTCTTTTGCCTGGAGCTGGGCTCAGGCAGCCTCCTGGAGCCAGTGAATGACGATAAGTTACATACCTGCAGACTTAGCTGGCAGACCCACTCTATGATTGATGATTCTTCTGGTTTTGTCATTTATTTGCCTTGTTTTCTTCCTTCCCCCAACAGAGCTGATAAGGAAAGTTTAGCTAGAAAAACATTTATCTTCTGATTTTATTTTTTTTAAACATTCATTCATTTGACCAGTGAAATGCCGTCTTCCTTCTCTAGCCTCTTTTTTTTTTTTTTTTTAGTAGAATCTTTTTTTATTCAGAAAAAAAAAAACCCAAAAAAAAAAAAGTTTCGAACCACACACAGGAGGGGTATGGGTAGGGGGCGGTATCTGTCCATCCAGTCCTGCCCCCTGCCCATATGGTTTTGGCAGCAATAAAGGATGTGGGGTAATGGCCCCCAAAAATAAAAATGGTGTATGTGTATGGGAAGGATAGGGGTGCAAAAGCAGTGGGGAGTGGTGGGGTAAGGGGCAGACGAGGTCAGTACTGGGCACGCCGCAGGTGAGAGGCCATTTCATAACATTTCTTGTTGATCAAACCACCGTGGACACCTTCTTTGCCCATCAGCAGGACTAGCGTCTTGGCAGTCATGGTGACAGGAAGGTTGAAGGTAGGTGCTCCGCCAGTACTCTTGGTGCGAAGATCCATGGTATATTCCCCATCCACTAGCAGTGAGTCCCGGATCACAGAACATTTCTGGCCCCCAAGTGTCAGCCCATTCACAAAAAAACTTGACCGGTCTTTGCCAACAAGAACTCCAACCTCAGCTGGCGTGATGTTAACGAAGGTTTTCCCGGGGACAGCAGCCCAGACGGAGGGCGAGTCCTTATAGCCCACGATGGCCGCGTCCTGACAGGTCCCGTCCGCCATGAGGTTGTCGATGTAGGCGTTCCACCCGGCCATGTCTCTTCTATTGGACTGTTCTAAGTGTTGTTGCTGGGGCCGTGGGTAGAGCTCCGGCTGCCTCGGTCTGGCGGACGGGGGAAGCAGAGAGCTCGGGGCACGCGCTACCGTCCAGACCGCGGAGGCTCTTCTAGCTGTGCAGCAGCCCTCGCACCGCCACTCTAGCCTCTTTTTAAGGGTAAGCAGTTTTACTTTACATAGCACCAAAAATAAGCCTTGAAAGAGACCGCTATGTCGGATGTTGTTTTCTTTTCTCTTGGTCCAATGTGATGTGCTGCTTTGTTGCATGTGACTCAGAAATTGGGTACCAAAATTTGAAAGTTTACATTTAGAACTCTAGAAACGCACTATTTAGACAGTGTTGTGTGGTGGAAAAATGATATGTAATCAACTTTTGCATGTAGATTGTACATATGTACTGGGTGACTGGAACCTGCTGCCTAACTCTTGTACCTTCTGTTTGTGCATCTGTGAAGTTGCAGTCAGAGCAGGAACCAGGGTGAGGAAAGCCGGGTGTCGTGCATGGAGGTACTCATGCTCTTCCCTGAGCGCCCAGTTAGACAGCATCTCGATGTCTTAGTTGTATGCCTTGGGTTCCAGTCATGGATGATAGAAATTGTTGTTGTTGATTGCCTTTGAGTAAAGCACGACCCCACGAACAAAAGGCCTGAAGCCCCTCTACAACTATCGACATTTATCAAAGTTCATAGAATTTCCAGAGGCATGTTGTTTAGGTAGTGGATGCCACTCCTGCAAATACATAACAACCAACAAAACTCAGCTGTAGGTCGGTTATGACTCAAAGGTACACAACAACAACAGAAACTGAGTCTGTCCTGACTCATGGGGACCCTGCATCAGGGTTCTTAGGCTGTAAATCTTTATGGAAGAATTCTGCCCATTTTTACTCCTTGAAGGGCTGGTGGATTCAAACCACTGACTTTTCTGTTAGTAGCCAGTGTAATGCACAAAATGCTACCAGAGCGCCCTTGGCTTTTATTAAGTATTGATTACATGCCTGTCATTCTCCAAAGCACTCTGCCTACATAACTGTCTTGGGAAAGTAGTCTTATTTCCATTTTGATAGATGAGAAAAACAGGCAAAGGTTAAGTTTTATCCACTTATGACAGAGTTTGGAAGTGACAAGGCTAAGATTCCTATTTAGCAGTCTGATTGCAGACAATATCTGGTTTACACTCACTGCAGTTGAACTCATGGTGTGTTCCCAAAGACTTTAATAACTGCAGCCTTTTGGAAGTAGACTGCCAGGGCTTGCTTCTGAGATACCTCTGGGTGAACTCAAACCTCTAATCTTTCTATTCGTCAAGTTGTTTAACTGCACCACCGCACAAGTCTGACTCCAATCAATCAATGCACGGTGGCTGTAGCTCAGGTGTGAATTCACTAGCCACACTCCCTCCCAGAAGAAGACACACTTCTCCTCAGGACCTCAAGTGGGTGCCTATTCACCTTCAACCAGCCTTGGCGATGACAGACACGCTTAAAGCACTGTGGACCAGAGTCACATGATGTTGTCCAATTCTGCCAAATGCTACTTGTTGTGAGATATGCCCCATAACGATGCGTGATGGACACCTTCTTTAGGCCAGAGAATAACTTAACCTCTGACTCGAGGTGGAGGTTTGTTTTCCAAGACAAAGTCGTTAGCAACACTTTGCACTCAGCAGAAAATCCAGCCAAGGGTGTATGAAGTGCCAGAAAGCCGTATTACGTCCTCAACATCTGTGAAAATACATTCCTCCTAATATTATTATATATTTTGTTCCTTGTCTGGGTTTTTAGGAATTAAGGTTGTTATTGTATCGTCTAATTTTCAGTCTGGAACTTTATTATTCAGCAGCCATGACTCTCTCCCCTTTGGCCCTCCCACCCCCACCCTGAGTTCTTTGCCCACCTTCCTGTTCTGCGTGTCTCCCATCTCAGACTTACTGGAGTTGTCCTCCCACAGGTTCTGTTGCATGTACAGAGCTTGGATGCCTTGATACTCAATGGGGCTAACAAAAAGGAGCTTTTGCAGCACAACTATATCCAATCAGGATCTCTCATGTCCAGAGAGAAGTCCACTGTCACCAGGTTGTTGTCATGTGCTGTCGAATCACCTGTGACTCATAGTGACCTTATGTACAGCAGCTCTGAACCCAGCTCTATCCTAAGCCAACCTCACCATCTCCAACACACCTACCCCCATTACTCCAGTCACTGAGACAGCGACCCCCATTACTCCAATCACTGAGTCAATCTATGTCATCGAGGGTCTTCCTCTCTTGTGCTATCCCTTCACCCTCCTAAGCATACTGTCCAAGGACTGGTCCTTCCTTGCAACATGCCCAGAGTATGTCAAACAGACCTTCAGAATCCTTGCCTCCAAGGAGCAGCCTGGTTTCACCCTCTCTAGGAAGAACCTGTTTGTTCTCTTCTTCACAATGCAGGGTGCATTGTTGTTGTTAAGTGCCGTTGAGTTGTAGACAACTCATTGCAACCCTATGAATGAAAGTCTTGAGCACTAGAGTTTCCGGAGGCAAGCTATTATGGAAGTGGATGCCACTCCTGCTTCCAACCTTGTTTTAGTTAGGGAATTCCACCAAATAGTGTCCACCATGGGTGACCATTATCACATTTGATACATCAGAGTCATGGTGTTTAGCCTCACAGCAACCACGAGCTACCTCTGTACAGGAATGCACAGACCAGCGCTATACCACTTAGAAGGATGTTTCACAAAAATCAATTTAAACCAGGCCTGAGGGCCGCAGATTAAAATCACCCACCTTGGGCTTGGTAGCATAACTTTCTGTCCACTAGGCCAACGTAGCTCTCTCTATGTTGTCATTGTTATTGTTAAGTGCATGGTACATTGCTTTGTATTAATGTTTGTGAAGATGTGTAATCAGAAAAGTAAGGATACCCTGTGTCTGTCTGACGGTGGTCCACATGCTGGACTTGCCAGCTGTTGGCCAAGATGAGAAAAGGCTTCAGAAGCCCATCTCGGCTGACACTGTGCCTCTGCCCCATCTTAGCTTTTTCTCTGGTTGAGCACTGAGTTCACTCCCTATCTGGCAAGTATTACCCTGATTCCCCTCTGGGCTATTAGCAGGTGTGGTTGGGGAGCCTGCTTTTCTTCCCCTCATCCATCTGAAAGGATCTTTTGAAATCTGATCTGACCCTCTTTATTTAACCCACTGTTGACTTGGAAATGCTAACAGTGAATGCAGCCAGGAATTTAAAAACACACACAATCTCATTGTCATGGATTCTACTCTGATTCCTATAGAACTAACTAGTCCTTAGAGTCTCCAAGGCTGTAATCTTTATCACACCTTCATCCATGTACCCACCAGGGCTCTTGAAACACCATACAGACAATGCCCATGGGTTTAGGCAGCACAGTCAATGCCCTTAAGGGCTGTGCAGCTCTGCCCAAGAGCCTTCCCTTACCTGAGTCCCTCTCGCCTCAGGACTCCGGTATTTCCTCCTTGAATCTGATAATTGGAGGTTCAAGTTCACACAGAGACAAGTGAAAGAAAGAGCAACCCTTGACATCCCAGTGGAGCCCCGTTCTACTCTGACACGCAATGGGATCTCCCTGAGTGAAAATCGACACTATGGCAAATTTTCCTTTGAAAGAAAAGAACTGTCAATTTCTTTCCTAAGGTGTTTGTGAGTAAGGGGTCATGAGATGATACAGTCCAAGTTCTTTACGCGTGAATGGCACAGGTAACCTGCAATGCTGGTCAGCAATTCTGATAAATGGGAAATGGCCATTATTACTTATTGCTCTTATTCTTTCCATCTCCCTCCTGAACTCAGGAGAATTCATCTGAAATTGTGCCTTTTTTTAAAGTGGAAAGTGACTGCTGTTATTTTTCTAACTTTCTCTCGTTCCCAGGAACTGGTGCCTTGAATGGTGAGCTAGCGCACAGATACTCTGCAGTGAGCGGCCTGCGGAGTGAGAGTGGAAAATTCCAGGTCGGCCTGCTGCCTGGGTGGCTGACCCTATTAACCATTAACAGTTTATCTTGAATCTGATTCTGATTACATCCAATTTGTTCTCTCCCTCCCTCTGGCTTCCCTTGGTCCCACCTAGAATTTACATTAGAAAATGAACAGCCCCTGTGTTTCCCTTGTTAGTGTTGGAGCCTCTGGCTGTTTTCTGATGTGTTGGGCTACCTAGAAGGTCTCCTGATTTCTGCTCTCTACCTCAGCAGCCCAAATCACAGAATGCAGGCTTCTCTCTGGACCTTCATTATCTTATCTGTAAAAAGATAGATGACCAATCAACCCCAACATCATGTTGGTCTTCTGGGGAAATCAATGGCTGTGGAAACCTCATTGTAATAAAGAAATTGTGATCTGTAGGACAGAATAGAACTGCCCTCACAGTGGTGTCTGTCATTTTTATAAAAGCAGATTTCCAATCTTCTCCCTGGAGACCATTGGTGAGTTAGAATTTCTGACCTTTCTAACAAGTGAATGGTCAAAATGATCATTAAAATTTCTGTAAAATTGCCCAGAGGGAAGCAAAGAAATCACAATCTTATGACTACAGCTTTCACAGTAAAATGGAGAGGCCAGAGAAATTGTATTGAGAAACATGTGAACATATCCAGGCTATGATAGAGTGTGTTGTTGTGTACAGTTGAGTCAAAACCGACCCATAGCTGACCCTCCAGCGGGTTTTCAGAGGCAGTTAATAGCACAGGAGGAGATTATCCATCCTTTTCCTATGGAGTAGCTGGTGGTTTTGAACTGTGTTCCTTTGGGATTGCAGTGCAGCTTCTTGCCACTAGGCCACCAAAGCATACTCTTTACATATTTCTCTGAATGGGATAAATAGGCAGCACTGGTAGTTGTGCTCTCACATTAAATACGGGCTTGACTCTGCTCCTCTTTCACAGACGTGGTGCTGGTGTTAGCTGCTGCTGACCCATGAGGACCCCACACTCAACAGAACAAAACACCGCATGGTCCTGTATCATCCCACGATCAGTTGCAGATTAAAATGCTGTGGCTCAGGTTTTCAGGAGACCACCAGGCTTTCCTCCTAGTCTGGCTTAGTCTAGAAGCTTCACTGAAATGTTTTCAACATCATGGCTACCCACAAGACTTCGTT